ACTTTTGCATTATTCTATGCCATTCTTATCATCCATCACTCGCAGCTAGCTGATTTTGTTGATAATGTGGACGAACAGCCGCTCTGATTAGTTACCACACTGGTCAAGCGCGAACATAATGATAAGCATCGGAATCGGAAAAGGCATCGTTCTGCGGTTGCACACAGTTGCTGCATGAAAAAAACCATCAACTACTGAGCGACTGAGTTTCAGATTCGGATCGTCTGTGGCTCAAAAGCAAGCCAGTGGCAAAAGCAGGGCCAGGGCAGTCTCATTGCCATCACTATCGAGTAATGGCGGCGCCCATGCTTGCTTAAGTGCGGTGGTATAGTGGTGGTTTCTGGTGGTACCAACGTGTGTTTTAGACTTTGTTGACGCACTTTCAGGCTCTGAAAATGCATCAAAATGTTAAAGATTCGGTTCACTGCATAGCAATAAGTATTTGAGCTTGGAATGGCGTTGTAAAATTTCATTGAAGCGGGACGAACAAAGAAAAAAAAGTGCCGCCATATCCACGAAGTGAATGATGATGAGTGGGCGAAGCTCTGGAGGAAAACCTGGTAAACCATGAATCTTCCGTACATTTTGCCTACTCGATTTTATTACAATGCTCCCCCTAGCGTACGTCGCCGCACTAAATCGAACGATTGCCTTCCACCAATGACATGTGCCATATGTGACATCATTCCTATTTTATAACATCTCGCATCTTTCATCATCAACTACAAGTACCGCCGTCTAGTTTATAACATCTTGCATCTTTTCATCATCAGCTACAAGTCCCGCCATCTAGTGAGCACTGAAAGAACTAAACGAGAAGAGACGACATACAGGAGACGGTACCGCCATCTAGTGGACACTGCAAGAACTAAACGAGAGGTGGCTACATACAGGGGACGCACAGCCCACGCCTTAAGGAGCTTCGCCCCTAAAAGTGTTTGTTGTGGCGACAATATTTGTGCATTGACTCCTATGGACTGCTGACGGGGAATCGTGAATTTTTCGTTGTAACGGAAATTTCGTTGAAGCGGCGTTTGTTGTAGCGGAGTTCAACTGTACAGTTGGGCCCACATATAACGGCCCCACTTCAAACGAACTTTCTCTTAAAACAAACAATATCTGCGTGACCGTGAAAATATACATTGGTTCAATGGCACAAAACCGCACTTACAACGAATGTCTCCCAGCGCCGCTGATCGGTTACAGCGAACATTCGAAGTCAGGGGTCTGCCGACTTCCCAAGAAACCGATTTCGAGTGCCGACCAGGCATCGGCGAGGTGCCCATACATTCCTAATGTTAAACGCCGACCCTGCTTCCGCAACCCTCTAGTTGCTGCTCTCCCCAACCCATGGAGGAAGAAAAGCTGTTTCCTTCCACCATGCCCCGACTGCTTTTTGGTTACGCCACCCCTCCGTCCTTTGTCCCCCCGCTATTCTGAGCACCCCGCATCGTCAGACGAGGCCCATGTTTTCACATTGCCACGGATCTATTGAAGACCGGGTGGCAATCTACCCTGTTTTCGATCACTGGTACTGTCGTTGGCGCCGCCGGCCAGGAGTGACCAGACCATTTGCCAACACTGTCGGCCACTGACTGTATCCGATAGTCAGCGTCTAGTGCACATGCATTCGCTACCCCACAGACTCTGATAATTTGCGATTCATTTCGTGTTTAGATCTTGTTTTCGCTAACTTCGCACTCAACTCAGCATCCCTTCCGCGCGCGTGCGGAAGCACAAAAACGGCTGTTAATTTGTGCGGAACAAATCGCGAAATATCGAAGTTCGTGAGGCCACGCAAACCCGCCGGCGCAACAAAACATTTTTTTTACACCGCGGCACATTCTTCAAACATCACCGCGCGCACTGATCCAGGCGGCCATGCTTTGACTTCTGCGCGCGCAGGCACTCTTTCCAAGTTTTTCTACGTGCAAGTTTTGCGGGCCTTTCAAGCAAGCTACCCAGCCTGCCTCTTTCCCGAGTGTTTTGGTTTTCAAGGTCGCCCTCCCGCCACATCCTTCCCTCTCGTTATCGCAACTCCTTGCCCTTCTCTCACAAGCCTGCTTTCCTCTCTTGACCACAACCCCTTCGCCTGTCTCCTCCGCTCTGCAACGCCCACCATGCTGGCTCGAATTAGTTCGTTTTCTGACTGGAAATGGACCCAGAGCTGTTCCACGCATTCTGGCATGTGTGTTGCATGTGCGCGTCTTGCTCACTCTTGATGTGCGTGTGTGGTCATGGTAGCCGACGGGAAGACTAGCATGCTTTTTCCTGCCCCTCAACAAAACGTCGAAAGAGTGGCGTCGAAAGATGGCTTGGCCTGAGCGTGATACGCGCGTTAGGTGCCACGTTGCGGAGCGCTTGCTCATAGCTGTTGACCACCTGGCAGCCAACTTGCCGCTTCATGCGTCCCGGTATTCAGCTGTGGTGATGGTGAATATTTCGTGGGCGGTGGTGATGGCTACAAGCGCAAAACTGTTTTCGCGAGGCTGACTTCGTCGATGTCGGGCCCGATGCCGAGCCTGAAGCTTCCAAACTGCGGCGGCTATTTGTGGTAGCGCGTCGTCGACTCCGACCTGGGAGAGCGGGTGGAATATCTGTTGCGATGGTTTAATTACGGCCGATGATGACGCCAACACTGGGGAACAGTGCACAGATTAAGGCATTGTGAATGAAGTACGTGGCAAGAGCGATTTGGAAGAATCGGATTGAGAGAACGTCGATACTTTGGAGCCAGTGCCTCATGCAGCTTATGCCACGGGCCTCGGCGAACGAGCACCCTGTCGTTTTAAGTGAACTCGAGACCACCTTTATCGCTTCTGCTCTTCGAAACACGCGCATCACGGACTTTTTGGGGCAAGATAAATTTGTGTTCTCACGCGAAACTTTTTTTAAAAGCCGTGTTTCATTTACTACAAACTTCGGGATACAGCGAACGGATGCAGCGTCAAGCTCAGGTTCCTTATAAGCGGGCTCGACTGTATAACGAAATTCACGTTATAACAAATTTTTCTGGAAATTTATCAATTTTCTTATATCTAGGTTTAACTGTATGTCAATTAACTCAAATATTTCTATTTTCTTCATTATTCACGGCTGAACTACGTCCATATTTATCTTTGCCATGCGAACCAGTTTTCGCAAACCAATAGGCAGGATCCCCCGCCTCTTTGAGGCGATCAAATTGCAGCTGGAAAGTACTGCTAATCTTATGTGAGTAATATTCTTTTTTTTTCTAATTCAGTGCACAGCATGACATCACAATTCCTCGTTTAAGAACATTCTAATGCGCCGACACGAAATTAAAACACCGGTTTTGGTGAACCGCCAGTGAAACTTTAAAGCCTGTACCAAGAAACTGCAAATTATTAGAGTTAGGAGCCTCAACAGTGAATCCCAAAGTTCCATTCCTTTTTGTTTAAACACGTTTAGAATATGCTGAACTCTGTACAGCATGTGACTTGTGAATGAAAATAAAATAATAATCTCTGTACCTCAACACTGTAAAACCTTTCTGAAGTTTGGTTACACCCTATCATGGACAACTAATACTTTAACTTATGAACAAATCGCTTAATTATTCGGTGTTTTGCTCGCATTGCTCAGGATAGCATGTTTCGACTGAACGTATCAATGTGATCATTCGCATGCCGATTCACTGCTACATCCTGTATATTATTCCGTTCACATTTCATGTGTATATATTACATGCAGATGTGTTTAGACATGTAGAGTATTTTAGGTGTAACAACAGTCAACATTCAGGGATGCCCTGCGTTTTTCTTTTTTATTTGGTGCACCCACGGTTCCAACGAGCAGCGGGTGACGGAAAACAGCCGGCGCGCTCAGCCGGTTCCACGCACACACTTGTCCCATAGTGCTTTGCGCGCCCACGGGGGTTCTGGGATTGCTTGGAAATGGTCTATTACTTTATTTTTTTGTTCCAAGAGGGAGACACCAACCTGCTGACCAAGAGCACTGTGTGATGAAAGCGGGAGATATAAAAGGCATGTTTGTAAGCCCATTAGGAATCTGGCCGTGGGGCAGTAAATAGCGTGCGCGACATCTGGTGCTGTGAGCCGAGAAGTCGCAAGTTCGATGCCCGTTGATTAAACTTTTTTTCTTTGATGTGGTCACGTACATTTCTTAGACATCATTTCCCTGGCTGGAGTACGTCACTGAAGTCATGGTGGGCCCCAGCATGAAACACTTTCGGGTGAAAAATAAAAAGAGCCCATGTAGTGTTTAATTTTTGAGACTACCCTTTATTCCTTATCAAGGTTGCCAGAGAAGATAACGGCAGCAGAGCCAGTATACATTACAGCCTCTGACAGAGTCCGGATATTGTAATGTAGAGAGGCAGCTGTCTTAACTATTGGTCTACTTCATGCAATTTTAAGCCTTCAAATATAGTGAATACATATTAATGAGCCTTTACTCTATGGCAGCCAAGCATAATGCTTGTGTTAAAACCTATCATGGCCTGTGCACATGGTTCAAAGTGCAATTGCAGGAGCAGACTCTCATTTCTTCAACATGGATGTCTCCCCTAATTTTTGCACACAAAAAAAAAAGCACAGCCACCCTTAATCAATCTGTAAAAATGTTTCTGTTATATTCTAGGATCATGCATCAATCAAATACACCTCACTAAATTGATATGTATGCCGTACATACATGTTTTTTTTAATTTTTTCTCCTGTTTCGTCTTGCAATTTAAAAGTTAATAATTTAATGTATGCACGCCTAATTTGTACAGTGTATGTATTACATACTTAAATGAAGTGTTTGTATGATAACTACCTGAGTTGTTTTATTTGCAGTGAAAATTATGTACGTGCATGTCTAATTGCTTAGTAGCTCTATTGCTGCAATTACACAGAAACCATGCACATGCATGCCGAATGCACGTAGGAGCCTCTGACAGGCCACATGGCATTTAGCTCTTACTCCTCTTTTTCTATAAGAAGGGTATGAACAAAAGTGAGAATAGGACCCACCACAAAGTTGACACCTTCCGTCTGGAGCATCTTCCCGCAGCCGGACTTGTCCTTCATGTCCTTGACAAGGAAGGCCCGTGTGATGTTGGGCACGGAATGAAAGATGGCCTTCGCTGACTCTTCCTCCACCATTGAGGCAAAGTCGAATTTGCTTCCTTTCAGTTCAAGCTGCCCCAGGAAAAAACCAACAAAAAGCGTCTGAATCAGACTGCTCACAACAGATGCATTGAAATGACAGATAGCTAAGCTGGTTGGTAGGTAACACAGGGTGCTCGACAAAAGAGAAGTCGCTGACAGCACAGACGCTGACTAACTGCAAGAAGGGCGAAAAGAAAGAAGGCACGAAAATTCATGTGCACATGCCTATGCAATAGGCAGAGCTATCGATCCAGCAGGCACAGGGGTCTATGTGAACTGTTACTGAAAGAAAGAAATGCAAATTTAAGGGCTCATTTTTCTTTGTTACACACAATACTAATGTCTGTTGGTTTTCAGATAACTGTTAAGGCGTTTGATTTCATTTTTATCCAAGTTAATCGAAGGTTGGCTCACACGTGCCTGTCTTGTGTCCATGTTTGCACACCCTGTCATGAGATGCATTGAAATATAACATGTACATTCGATTTCTTTAATTACACATAATTCAATCAGGTGTTCAGTAGATGCAATAGGAAGTTTCAAGTTCAACGAGGCAAAGGTCAAGACATTGAACTCCTCTAAGCACTATCAATGACGAGATTGTAACTGAGGATAAAAGCCACACTTTTCAGCGACTTTTTAAATCGGCTTTCTGCCCTCCTACACAAGTAAGTGTCAAAAATAAAAAGAACAACATTTGCTGATGGGCGAGACAGAGCTTTCATTCAATTGCATAATTAAGTTGTTACAACAAATTGATGAAAGTAAAGCAACTGGCCCAGATGGCATATCACCAAGAGCTTTAATACAGTGCTCTGAGGCAGTAGCTCGTTACCTTCATATTGCTAAGCTAACGTGCCAGGGAGGGCGAAGAGCGCTTGTCTTGTGAGTGGATCGGTGCAGGGCGGCAGCCATTCAGCCTCTTTCCATCGGCCCATCTTCAAATAAACGCCTTTCATCGTAACAGTTTGGTGAGAGGTGCGCGATACGACAACGGCGCTCCCTAGGAACGATGACGTACCAACTGCAGAGACGCAATACGTGGTGATTTGCCGAAGTAGACAAATCGCTGGTCTGCCGCTAGAGATGGATTCCGACACAGACAATGACTATCTGGCACATGCTTCTGGTCTCCTGACCTCCAGTCATCCATGGCAACCCTACATCGAGCCACAAACCTTCGCAGGAAAAGCTGGTGAGGATGTGGACGCATGGCTGAGCAAGTTGGTTCAATGGATGGAATGCCACTGGTCAGCTCTCCAATGTCAGCCTCTTCCTTGAGGGAACCGCGCCTGTGTGGTATGAAAACCATGAGGAGAGCTTGACAACATTGCAGAAGTTCGTCGAAGAGATTAGGAAGTACTTCGGAGATTTAGCGGCCAAAAATAAGCATGGCGAGCAAATGCTGATGCAGTGTACTCAGGTTCCTGGGGAAACCTGCACAATGTACATTGAAAAAGTGCTCAAGTTGTGCAAGGTCCTGGACCCTCGGATGACCAAAGAGGACAAAGTGCGTCACCTTCTGAAAGGAATTGCAGATGACGTCTACCAGTACCTCATCACGAAGGACAGTCTAGAGTCCGTGAGTGACGTCATTCTGCACCGCCGCACATTTAAAACCTTAAGAGCTCGGCGCATCACACTCAAGTTCGGCCACTTGACCAACGTAACGACTGTCGCCAGCTTTGACGTTGGTGCAGCCCTGTCTGACCTTGCTTCAATTATCCACCAAGTGGTGCGCGAAGAGCTCGATCGACATGAAGCGGCGTCTGTTTCGTCTCCTCGAGTTCAGGAGCCTCTCCCTTCCTGCGATCCAGGTGTGGCGTATATCAATGCTGCGTCCGTTAATGCATACAACTTCACACCTCGTCCAATGATACCAACCCCTACAATGAACACCCATCTCGGTTATGATGTCCACGACGGCTTCATACGCGGTCCATCTGCAGTCTCTCAACCTGAGACAGCCGCGCAATTTATCCTCCGGTTACGAATTACAACTGGTCTCATGAGCGTCTGCTTTCATTGTGGTGTCCGTGGCCACATCGGCCGATTTTGTCCTCAGCGCTGTCGCATGTCAGCACCATGAAAAGACCGACCACGCACTTTCTATCGGTGCAACAACTACCATGGTGACGAAGCCAACTGGCCTTCCGGCTCTGATAGCAGGACGCCCTATCGACCAAATCACCGTAGCAACTCGCCAGCTTCTGTGCCGAGTACAGATCTCCATCTCCTCAGCGACGTCTCAAGTCCCCACTACCGAAAAACTAGGCGGCACAACCGATGGAGGTGAGGCCACCAGTCATCTTCAGCCACATTTCCCCATGCTTCCCCCTGTCACTACGCATCACAACAAGATTAGTGTTTTAGTGGACAATGTTGCTACGTCAGCCTCAGTAGACACGGGAGCGAGTGTATCTGTCATTAGTCTGGATTTCAAAACTAAACTCGGTCGTAAAGTAATGTTTCGCTGGGACAACCCTCACACATTTCATGTCGTAAGTGGACAATTGCTCCGACCCCTTGGTGTGTGCACCGTGAACGTTTATTTCTCTGACAAGTTATATCGAGCTGAATTTGCAGTTATAATTCTTGGCCTCGACTTCCTACAGCACTATGGTGCCACACTTGACTGTGGGACCAGCGAGCTTTTCCTGCCCCCTCTTGCCGACCTACCTTCTACCTGCTCGCACACCCTCACCGTCCTTGAAGATGTCGTCCAACCGGCACATTCCGTATCCAGAGGTCGAGTAGCTGCTGATAGTGTTGAGATTGATACACTTGTTGCAATTGCTGAGCTTGTGTCTTTGATCATAACGAAGAAAAGTGCGTTCGTACCTCGATGCGTCATCTCTTTAGCTTGCGGAACAACCACACTGTGGGTGTTCAATATATCTGGTAAGTCTGTTGTGCTACCCAGGGGTATGAGGCTTGCATCGTTTGAAGTGGATACCAGCATCGATATTGCAGCTTTAAATATAGAGACATAACACGAAGCCCAAGCAACTTATATTAGCCCTGGTGTTCTTCAAGACTCTTCCCTTTTCCTGAATATGTTCAACAAGTCACTGACCTCCGAGAAGCGTCAAGTGATGGTCAATGTTCTAAGGAAGCACGCGTCACTGTTTGATTTCAGCCAGGAAGCTAAGGAAGTGCGCATTACCAACACACGGGCTCGTCACAGGATCGACACCAGGTTAGCGCATCCAATCAGGCAGAAGCCTTACCGCGTGCCCGCGTCGGAGCGTAAGGTTATCGCTGACCAGATGGATCACATGCTGGCCAAGGGCGTCATTCAAGATTCTTCTAGCACTTGGGCTGTGCCGGTCATCTTTGTGAAAAAGAAAGCCGGATCCTGGATGTTTTGTGTCGACTACCGGCACCTCAATTCCATGACTAAAAAAAACCTACAACAACCAAACACGTAAAACTGAGAACCACGCATTTTTTGCGATGTAGCTTACCTGGAAGTTTGGAGGTTGGTGAAATATTCGCCAAAGGTTCTCACTTGTGACAAGTATCCTCTACCTTCGCTCGTTTGGCGCTGGTTTTATTGGTAATTTCCGCAATCTTCCAGCCAATTCTTGGCTTCATTTTTGGGCACAAGTAAGTAAAGCCTCCGCTCAAAAACCTAAGGCGCCGCTTCAGCGAGTCATCAGTGGTCAGGGGTGTCTGTAAATTTAAGCCTAGCGTAGTGTCTCTAGGCTTAAAAAAGTTTTCCTAGACGCAGTCACTTCCCTCTAGTTGTTCATCTCCTCTTCATATAGCCCTCACCCATTTTTGACAGAGCGTTAAAAGGTCAAACTTTTCTTGTTACGCAGAACTGATTCACAGCTCGAGGCAGTCTCGGCGTTTCCGTTCAAATGAATTGCCGTCTGCTCAAATGTGCTTCGCTAATGTCTGTCTTTCGCACACAGTAGTTCTTTATGACACTGTTATATCGAAGAATGTGCAAAATCTGTTCTCGACCTGTAATCGTAGTTAGGCATGCGCCTAAATACAATACATATATACACTAAAACCTCGTTATAACGTAATATGATAACAAAATAATGGATATAACAAAGTAAATAAAATTCCCCTTGAAAGCTCCATTGAGAACTATGCATTTTAAACCTCACGGTAAAGAAGCAAAATTGACCAGCAAATGGATATAACCAACTAAATTAGTCTATCAAAAAAAAAGACCGTTGTGTGTTAAGTACATGTAGTTTTCTGCGGAGTTTGACACTCGTTCAGTGCGGTTCTTTCTAAACTCCCGCACCTAACCTACAGCCCAGCCACGCGCAGCCAGCGGAGAGGATTGAGGAAGCGCTCAGCGGGTCACATGATCGAGAAGCGGTGCCGCGGTGCAAAGTGATTTTTCTCTAACACACAATGGGGAAGCTTTAGAAGACTTACATTTATTCACAAATCAGAGGACAACCATCATTATTTGAAGAAATCAATGTTGCGCGTCTGCACACGTTTGCCTTGCAGTGAGTCAATCAATTTCGCACGCAGTTTGCAAGCGGCCAAGTCCAGCGCCAACGCTCTCTAAAGGCGACAGTAACTAACGTTTCCGCTGCTACTCTGAGATGCACTGAGAAAGGAGGAGTGTCTCCACGCGAAGAGAAGCAGATCTGCATTAGAATAAATGCGTGGTTGAAAGAAAGGAAAAGAGGCACTATCTTATGCAGCCCTTGCGGGAGCACGGCTCAGCGCCTTCAGGAGGGGGGGGGGGGGGGGGGGGGGGTGGAGAAAAGAGTCTAGAAGTAGATAGGAGGAGAATAGGAGCCAACTCCCCGCAACAGCTTTTTTTTTTTTTCCCTCTCTCTCTGCCCGCGGCCTTGAAAGGAAAAGGGTCTCTATGTGCAGAGACGGAAAATGGAGAAGAAGCGTGGCACAGGCATGTCACTGATCGGCATTTGAAAGAGAGCAAACAATCCGCCGCAGTCTTATCTTTCCTTTTCTTCTTGTAGTTCTTCGCGCACAGCGTTGAAAGGTGCTGCCCCGGGATCGGGCATGGTGCTGAGAACATTTTCGGAGCGCGGTATGTTCGAAATAATCGTCACAAGTGCTTTCGAGTTCGAATTACGGGGCATTTTCGTCCATTGGAATACACATAGCTTTGACGGGACCACAGCGTGAGTTCGAATCAACCAGTGGTTCAAATTAAGTGTGTTCGAAAGTTGATGCGCGTATACTTGATAAATTTAATTTATTCTTTACTGAAATTGGCTCAACCTTAGCCCAAAATTTCCTTGTAGAGAAATGAAACGTTTTTCAACCTCCTTATCAAATACGTTTGCTTTTCACTACATCAGTGAGGATGAAATTCATGACACTGTTGCCAATATAAGCACTAACAAAGCCAGTGGAATAGATGGTATTACTGCTTGCTTAGTGAAAGATAACATTGATATTTTGAGTGCCATCTTGTGTCACATATTTAACCATTGCTTGCATACATCGACGTACCCATCCTGTTTAAAAAATGCCAAATTCGTGCCGGTATATAAGGAGAGCGATCGCTCTGATCTTTCAAGCTATCGGCCCATATCTGTGTTAAGCATTACAAACACCATATTCGAAAAGATTCTTGGAAAATGAATGCGCCTATTCTTAGAAAAATATAGTGCTTTTTGCCCGGAGCAGCATAGATTTAGATCACACCATTCCACATCAACAGCTGTGTTATCGTTATCACAGAAGATTAACATAGCACTGCACAACAACCTTCTTGTAGCAGTTGTCTTCATTGATTTAAAAAAGGCATTCAATACCGTCGGCCATAATATTCTGCTTATGAAATTAAAACACTATGGATTCTGTGGCAAAGCTTTTAGCCTCTTTTCTAACTACATTTATAGACGTCATCAAATGGTTAACATGCAAGATTTTAAGTCATCATTATTAAACATAAAGACAGGGTTACCTCAGGGGTCGGTCCTGGGGCCACTGTCATTCTCACTACACATAAATGATTTGCCATGCATACTCAAATTGGCCAAGTTGCTGATGTACGCTGATTGCACAGCTTTAATAGTTACCGCCGATAACATAGCCGATATAGAATGTAGAGCTAATGAAGAACTAGAAAATATTTGTAAGTGGTTTGCAGTGAACAAATCAAATTAACACTCAATGCAAAGAAAACCAAATACACCATTTTTCACTCCCGTTACCGAAATGTAAACTGTGAGTCATTTCGACTAACAATGAACAACTGCCAACTTCAGCATGTAAAAGAAGTTAAATATCTCAGTGTAGTGTCTGACAGCTAATTACACTAGAAATAACAAATTGTGTTTGTATTAAGTTAGCATCTGGCTGCAGTATGCTACAGGCTGCTAGAAATTATTTTTGCAGAAATATTCTCAGAGTCCTTTATTTTTCGTTTGTTCATAGTCATCTATCATACTGCTTAGACTCATGGCGATGGACCTTGAAAACATACCTTGATCCTATCTGCATATTACAAAAGCGTGCGCTTAGAACAATAGATTATGTGGCATACCATGAACACAGTGCATTTTTGTTTCACAAGTTGGATATTCTACCTTTTGATTACTTACGGCAGCATAAAACCGCAGTCACCATCAGTAATGTTAATGCACACAGTGTACCTTTCGCTGTATCTATCTTTTCTTCCTGGTCCCACGTCACTAGATGCATGACATTGCGGAATTTTAATATTCCACCTACTAAAAACCTGTATGGTGAACGCTTACTAAAGTTCGTAGGAGCTAAAGTGTGGAATAACATACCACTTCAGATTAAAGATTCTAGGGCTTTCTCGAGCGCACTCAAAAAAAATTTGCAACATGTAGAACAATAGTATTGACCATGTACTAAACCTTACACATAGTTTGATGTTTTGTCTGTACTTGTTTATTTGATTATTTATGAACAAAGTGCAACAATGTGTTCTATATACATTTCTGTACGTCCTCTCAAGCATTTATGTCACCTTAATACCCAGTGATATCTTCTTGTATTTTTGTTCGTTTTCTTGAAAAATCAGTTTTTTTTTATGTTCTGATTTTTTTATACTAGTTGTATTCTGCTTGTATACTTTTTCCCGTTAGACCCCCTACTAGCCTATGGCTATGGGTCTAATCAGTGTTGTGCATTTTATGAAATGTAATCATAACAACCTCAATAAAATGGAAAAAATTAGTAAGATTCAACTGTGTGTATTTCCCGCCGCACGCATGGTCGCGTAGCATTACATCGGGTCGCAAGGCGGTTTTCTTCTTTGCATGTTTATAAATGTGCACCCATCTGAGCTTACATTATTACCAACTGTTATACTTGATATCACAAAATTATAGATTAACAAAATAATTGTGGCTCCCCTTTAACTTCATCATATCGAGGTGTGAGTGTAATTAAAAGTGTTGGCACAAAGACGTTCTACTTACTTCATTTTGTTTTGGCAAACCACGCCAGTGAAAAACTTCCATAGCTGCATCCAGTAGCATAGTGGAGTCTGCGAGAAGCAGATGTAGCAGACGACACTCGGGCGCTGTCGGGAACCGCAGGCGCACGCACTTTCCTCCCGCGGCGGAAAACGAATAGTTCTGTGTGTCGCCGCAACGATCGCTGCGTGCACGTTCACCAACCTCCTCTCCTAGGGGGACAATATCGCGGCGCGCGCTGTCGTCGGCCCGGAGTTTCCCCTCCTGTCTTTCTTGCTCCGTGCCTTGGAGCTCATAGATTGCTATCGCATCGCCGCGACCGTGGTTTTGTCTATGGCGGTTCGCGGCAAACGGCATTACCCTGGTTTTGCATCACTGAAACTCTACCGTAAGTTTAGATGAATGCCTCTCAAATTCGTTTATAATGCAATGACCTCGCAAAAAGCTTGGAACGAATATGCCTGCATTTTTGTCAATGCAGCCAGACCTCCCACACATATTTCGATTTTCGGAATATTTTCATGGCGACCCTACAAACGGAAGAAACGGTTGCAAACCGGGAGTCTTTTAGACAATGCGGGAGACTTCGCAAGTTTGTGATGATAACACCAACACATATAGTTTTTTCCCGGTGGCGGAATATAGCACAACGCCGTTTTTGTAGCCTCCACGACCAGCCACGGCAATGCGTCATAGCATATCGCGGAGGCCACGCTGTTTTACTAATTTTATTTTGTTTTTGCAAAAATAAAGTAATTTTCATGAATTTCGGTCAAGATTTGTAAAATTGTACCCTCGATCGAAATTTGTACATTTTACGGGAAAATCAGAAGACTTAGCAGGTGTGTAATTGGTAAGGCTCATTTATAGAATCCATTCCATGGCTACTTCAAAGAGTGCTGCAGGGCCCCTTTAATGCTATGAATCACTGCACATCACAGTGGCTCAACCAAACGCATTTTCAACTGTCCACTTCCAGTACACGTCTGGAAGCTTGATGTCATGCAGGCAGCTGATCTGATTAGATGTGCAATGAGTGCCGTAGGCAATTTTTAACACAAAAGTGTTTTATGCCAGGGCCTACCGAGATTTCAGTGACATATTTCTGTCACAGAAATGATGTCGAAAAAATACATATGATCAGAAGACAAAGAAAAAAAATTCCATCAACGGGAGTCGAACTCATGACCTCTCAGTCAGCGGAAGCAGCTGCCGGGCACGCTATCTACTGCGAAAATGTCACATACTTTGCAGGCTTTAAAAACAAAGTCTTTTATACTTGCCACTTCCCTCTCAATTTCCCAGAGAATTTACCAATATTGTTATATCCAGGCTGAACTGTAATTCATTTGGGTAGCTGGCACACTTCAGTCGCTCGATCTGGGCACCGAGGCTTCTTCTCACATAACAGTAAAAAAAAAATTTAACAACCATGGGAAACAGTTGCGAGCAGCAGGAGTGCGCATGACGTCCATAGTTCTGCCACTGAAGCAGCGGTTGAACGAGTTTCTTAATACCGTCATGCGAAACTTTTACTATGACAACTCTTGTGACTTTTTTTTTCTTGCACGTAATAAACTCTCTCTCTAAATTGGTGTCACCTTTTCTTAAAAAAAAGAAGAAAAAAAGGTAAATTGATTACATGAGTAAATACGGTGAACTATAAAAACCCCCCTCCGAATTTCAAGAAATATAAACTGCAAAAATATAATATGGAGCCCTAAAGATGATGTACTGCAATGCAGCAGACTCCAAATAAGACTGTCTCGTGAAATATCTACTGTCTCATAATACACTGCTTCCCCATTTCTCATAAGGACACACCACCCTGAATGCTGGATCAGAGAAAACTTGTCATTCGAGCTCACATTCAACTAGATCGATGAGACAAAGGCAGCATATGAAGACACTAAAACCTGGCTCACCTGAAACGTAAATGTACACCACTCTTCCTTGACATCATCGTAGTCGTACTCCAGAACCCACGTGTTGTACTTCACCACCGACTGTTGCCAGGGCCACGAATGAGACAAAAATTAAGCCAACATTTAAAGAACTTGCTCAAATAATAATGACAATTTTTGTAAGCATGTCAAGTTTTTGTGTGCAAACACTACAGCAAAAGAAACACTAGTAAGCATGTGAGTTCCTTGAATCGTTTCTTATTGCACATGTTTTTTACAAATCTGTTTACGCTGAAGCACCCAGGCAGCTATCAAAGAATAGTACTCAGGTAATTCTTACAATAGTACCCATTCCAAGTATTCAAACACGCAAATTTATTCTTCTCCATTTATTATTATTCATTCAAAAATACCTGCAGCGCCTGAAGGCATTATTGCAGGGGGGAAATGCACAGCGTAACATATGCTTAAATAAAAAGAACAACAATTCGAAAAAAAAAACACGACATAAAAATAATAATTACTCAAAAAACAAGATGAACCCAAAACAGATCTTGACCAAAATGTAGCTATCAGGTTAGCAGTATGTCCCTGAAGGATGCTTCAGTGCGGCAGTCTGCAAACTCCCGTAGAAGCCGATTCCACTGGAAGATTGTGTGCCGAAAAAAAAAAAATTATTGGTAAACGTTTGTCCTGCAAAAACTTTCTCTTGACATTTGAGGGTGATCAGTCCTCTTAGATAACAAACAGGGAGGTGAAATCTAAAATTCTTTATCCATTTTATTCATTCCACAAAATATTTTGAAAAGCATTTATAATGTGACGTTTTTCTTATGTGAAACTAATTCCACCCTAACCTATCTTTAATCACACTGACACTGAAGTCATAGTTGCTAGATGTACTTTGCATGAGGTACTTTGCAGATGTACTTTGCATGAGGTATCCTGAGCAACATCATTGATGTAGACTAGAAACAGCAAAGGCCCCAACACAGATCTCTGAGGAACTTTCAAAGTAACAACAACATATTCACACTGCAAGCCATGAATTACAACCCGTTGCATCCAGTCTTGTAGGTAACACCTTATCCAATCTAGCAATGCAGGATTAAAAATGAGAGATGAGAGTTCATGTAGCAGGAGAACAGGGGGCACGAAATCAAATGCTTTCTGGAAGTCCAGAAATATGCAGTCAGTCTGCACACCAAGGTCAAATGAGTAAAAAAGATCATGACAGAATTCTATTAGCTGTGTTGAGCAAGAAAGACCAGACCAAAACCCATGCTGAAATTCGGTAAAAAAGTTGTTGCATTCTAGATGTTTCGTCACGATGCTATGTACTATGTGCTTCACTGTTTCACTACACTTGCTCATTAGGGAAATCGGCCTGTAATTGGAGACAATACTTTTTCGGCCATCTTTATGTATCGGAACCACATTCGCAATTTTCCATTCCCTAGGTAAACAGGAAGCACGCAATTAAATTAGAGCAAACCTTTAACCTGTAAGAGGGTATACTGTCAGGGCCATTCGCAGAAGAATCCTTTATTTTGTCAAGCAACTTAAGTGTACCATCAGGCTTCGGCATAGGTTCAAAGATATTGTCGGGAATACACCGTACGTCACTGCTCAAGGGTGGGTAAAAGTAGCCTGGAAATAGTGATTGAAAGAAGAAGCTTTATCAGTGTCATCAAATAAAAGTACACCGCCATTGTTTATGCTCGGGATGCCAACTTATTTTTTGCTGATTGATTTTAAATACTTCCACATTTCTTTCGGAATATTTTGTAACTTTGGGCCAATGCTAAGAAATATTTTTTCTTGGCAATCTTGTTTTTGTGTTTATATCTTTTCCAAGCGACTCTTCTACCAAGATTACACCAGGAGTGTGCTGCTTTCTATAAGCATTCAGGAGGCAATGTCTCTTGTTAATCATTCGCTTAACTTCCAGAGTAACCCAAGGCCTATAACTATGTTGTTTGGCAGAAAAATGTTTACTTGAAACATGTTTGTCTACCAAATGCTTTAGTGTGAAGCAAAATGTGCCCTCCTTCTAAATTCATTTCTGAAACCACGAAACGCTCTAGATCCTTTTTCTCATGCAGTTAGGCCAGAAAGGACACAAAATGTCAACAACGAAGAAAATTCGACATTCCCTCAATTTCCTGGTCAGAAGGTGCAATTATAGGCTGACCAATAAATAATGAGAGACAATGAGACTTACAAAAATCCTGGCTTGCTTCAGCTTCTCAGCCTTCTCATCCCGAATAGTCTCTTGGAGCGAGACAAAGATGTCATTGGAAATGGTGCCTTCTTCGGCTGACAGCAGAGAAGACTCAGCAGGTGGTGCGGCCTCACCATCAACCATCTCGTCGTCTGTGACACCACATAAACAAAAATAAATAGAAATGCAGGAAGCTGCGACTGCGTACATTATCCCTCAGACTACTGATTACTATACAAAGGTATGTTTGCAAAGTACAAATCTGGACAGGGGAAAAGCTCCATGAACCTGCACAGTTGACCGCTGGCTGTTATTTGAGATATGCACAAATACTCGCTGATACAAGAATCAACTTACAAGGAAGACGTTATGCAAAAGAGATTGAAATGTTTGGTGACTTGAGTGTAAGCATGCCTTGTGTCATTCTAAAGAAAAAAAAAAAACTATTTCTCCAAGTCTGTTGTTACCAAGTAAAGGGCACGAGACATTTGCCAGCCGACAAAGAAGAAGTATTGGGCTGTGATCACACAGCCCAATACTTTACGGCACGCAATGGTGTGCCGCAAAGTGAAAAAATACTTAATCGGGTGCACGATGAATACAGGTACACAATCTGCAGACAGCTCCTTACGCATGACCTAATCTGGAACCTGAAATTTGACAAGAACAAGCTGGCATTGCCTGTAAGGCACCGATCGACAAAGGAGGTCAAACATGCATCACACTGGTGATGAGAACAGCTGGTCTGGAGGATACCACACTAGGATCCTATGGTGTGTATGTCGAAATTGGCAACAGCCTGGTGAAGCTCCTCAGGCTCACAGCAGCCTCATTAGAGCAGTTCCCGATACACCTGCAACGCTCCACATTTAATAGCACGAACAGATTGATCCGCATCACAATCTTTGGGTATCTCGCTGTAATTTGGATTAGAATGTCACTGGGATGCAGTAGCCGAGGTGACGCTAAGCATAACCTCCAATCTTCGGTGGTGGCTACAGCGGCAAACGGGAAACGGCACAAGAGTGGAGACGGGAGGATCTCTTAACAACTTCGTAGATTGTTTACAGCAACAGGTAGATGTTCATATCACAAAAGGGCGATTGTCAGCCTGAAAAGTGGCCAAAATAGCCATACGGTGCTCACTAAAAATCCCGTATTGATTGAAAGGAAAAAAAAAAAAAAAAGAGACAGTCTGGCATTAATCGATCGTATGCCAAACGCTTCTCAAAGTGCTTTCGCTACAGTACACCAATGTCATGCGGAAAAAGGTCCTTGTATTGAGTAGGGGCAATCAGCTGATGCGAAAGACAGCTCATTGTTCCCCTTAATTGCACGCATGTGCATGGCTCAAGATTACAGATGCAATTCCTACAACTTTAGACTGTGCCAGAGAGCGAAAAGACAAACACAGTGAGCAGCCCTTTGCGTCGGATATCCCATGCATGTGCCATTGGCAATGGGTTCAAAGGATGCTGGGATGCACAGCAAACATGATTTTAATTACAAACAAGAAAAACCCATCAGAAATACTGAACACTTGTTAAACAAATATATACCTTACATGAAACACAAACCAGATGTTCAAAAATTAGCTATCACTAAAGTGCGCAGTCCTCACTGCATGCTCAATGTCTTCAATGTCTGGATCCCCAACTACAATCTGGCCACTTTGGCCTCACAATAAAACCGTAGTCTAAATGGAACGGTGTTACTCGGTTCCATAAATCATGAACGTATAAACTTCATTCTAGTGGGTTCACGGCCACATAGCCAATGATCCTTTTCAAACTGTCACTCCCATGCATAATGGTCAGTCATGCTGCTGCAAACCTGTTCCTTGTTGCTGTATTGACGTGTTGGGGCTACTTTGTCGTTTAGGCCTAGTACAAGCTTGGCCCCCACTCAAAGTGATGACATGGCGTTCTGAAGATTGATTCTGGCCGATGTTTGAAGGAGCTGCTGCAGATGCATCTGGAACTGCTACAAGGGGCTGCAGCACATCCGAGAAGCCTCACTTGAATGTGGTCAAGGTCAACGGCCACGGCATAGCCTCCACAACCGAACAAAGCTGCCGAAGCGATTTTCTTCAGCCACACAAACAATGTCAGATCATCGAGTTTCGTGCTTTTCCATGCATGCGCTCGTAATTGTTCCGAGTGCTTCTCTTTTTGTCCTCGTGGCCCATATGACATTTTCTTCCAATTGACACCATTATCAATGCATCATCAACGCAACACAAATAACTATTTTGGAATATGTGTGTAAGCACTTAAAAAAGAACTGTAGAACCGGTAAAGATAAACTGTGCAAATGAAAGAAAGAAATATGAAGACACCGAAGAAGAGGTCTTTCGACGAAGACTGCTCGGACTTCACCTTCAAAGTCGAGAAGCCTCAAAAGGCCAGTAAACAGGCTCAGACCTTTTTTTTTTTTTTACACCCCTCAAACAAGCTTGGCGATTCTTATAGTAGACTGCAGCGATCACATCCGAATATTACAGTGTTGCACGCTGTGCAGACCCTCCATTTCAAAAAAACAATCCTACACCCGTTCCCCTTTCCTGACCGATCCCCCTCGTATGCTCAGTCTGACGAAAGCTTGCCCATGAGCAATGTCACACACTAATGAGCTGGTCGATTGGTTCTTTGCCCTATGAAACGGCGCCTTGGCCCTGTGCAGTATCAGTCATGAAGTCTGCATATTCCATTTTCTCAGATGCCTTTTGCCATTCTGTAGAACCCAAGACTCCGGGAGAAGCGGTGTTGCCAGAACGAAAGCCTCTGAGAATAGGAGGCGTTTCACTACTTCACCGTGATAGGAAAAGTGTTCCTCGCTCCACATTTCCTGTCCTCGCCGCTGCGACACGTGCTAATGAGACGGAAGCCCCACTCTATCGTTCGCTGCGCCCCGATAATGTGTCACGGACATCACGTAATGTGGTCGAAGTGGGCGAGTCACGATGACAAGCTACTCTTTCGGAGAAGGGCGGGGAGCGGTCCCACAAAAATTTAAAACTGACTGAAACAGGTGTTCTAACACCTGTAACTTCCTTATCATAGCACGTACAACGGAATCCCAAATACAACACATTCAGGGGACCACGCAAAACCGTCACAGTATAATCAGGGTGTCGTATAATCGAAAAACAAAGATCATAGGCAGGGACAAGCAGCCATGTAAAAAAAAAAAATGTGTACAGACCGCCTGAATAAGCCCATTGCACGACCTTGTGCCTCTGCAAGGAAGGTGAATTGAATTGTTCTTGCCAGTGGCAGCATTGCATAGTTAAAGGAGGTGCGAGCGAATCTAACTGAAAAAAAAAAAAATAATAAAATCCAGCACGCATCTTTCTGCCTCTAAACTGAGTTCGAAAATTGCGTACGTAAGAAAACAGAACTGTAGCCGCAAAGGCAACAGCCTCCCGTCAGAAGTCAGACGCAGTGTCATCGCATTCACATAATGGCGACGAACCACAAGTTCACATAGAATGCCTTTGTGCGTGACTAAGCTGTGTTATTTGCACCAGCATGCTGTGCTAACGTTTCAAAAGCTATTTTTCTTCAACTTGATGTCCTAGGTGGTTGTCTTACAAAATATAACAAAATATGGTCACGTTCTCAGAGAAACAAAGGCAGAAATGCAAAGTGTGAAAAATTGGTGTGCCTGTAATCGAGTGCAAGCTCTGAATACACGACAGCTCTAAGAGCAGGGGAGATGGTTACAAAAACGTCAAGGGAAAAAAAAAAGGCTACGTATGCTGACCCTTGTTTAGACAATATATTCTCAGAAAACATGCCGGCAGCAAAAACCCATAATGCGAATGAATGCTTCAGTGGGATGCTCTAGCAGCATGTCCCTGAAGATGTCAATACAAGCCTGTGCACTGTTTTGTTTGCACTATAGGACTGTACATGTCAGTTTCACAACAGAAACAGTGGCACGCTGGATATTTTGAGGCAGGAAGGTGTCCATCCTGGCTACTACAGCCTGCCTCAGAAAGGACCGGACTTGCTTGAAGATTGCCAGCTGCAGTCAACGGCTGAAGAAAAACAAGCTTAAACAAAACTAGGAGTTGCTAAACCACCTAAAGGTGAAGTAGAAGCATAAGGAGGGTCCCAGCTATAAGCATGGTGACTTTTAGCATCTACAGCAATCCAATCACGTATACAAAGCGACTGAAAATTTTTTCTTTGTTTTTTTTTTTTTTTCAAAACACCATTTTTAGTCGTTTTTTAAAGTGCCAAAAGCCATAACTTCTGAATGACCCAACATTTGTCACTTAAACATCTCATGCTTCTTTCTGATATAATAAACTACAATAATTGAAAACAACCAATAACCTTTTGATGTTAAAAGAGTTCAAATGAAGCAACCACCTGAAATTACACAATTTTGAGTTTTTCAACCATTATGTACTTAAAGGGGCACTGCAACACTTACAAGTAGCCATAGAATGGATTCACTAAAGGAGCTTAATGCCTAATGAATGCACCACCGCAAAATCTTTAGAATTCATCCAGTATGAGCGGAGTGGCAAAGATTTGTCGTACACTACAATTGCATTCTTTCTTCTTTTTGTCTAACAAAATCACTGGATGCTATGAGCAGGGAGGGATGGCATGGGGGAAGAAAATACATTATGCATGCCTCGTGATCTTGAGCACTTTTTTTTTTTTCAAATGTACAGCTTTTCAGTGTGACTGCACGCGCATTCATGGATGAGTACGACCTCCTGCAGCGACCCCATTAATGACCGAGCACGCCATGCTCAAATCAACCAATGACTGTTACTGGGCCTGTGACGGTGATTTTTGTTGAGAGAAAAGAAAGCGATTTTCAGCTGACTTGAGAATGTACTGCGAATTACAGGCCCCTTGCTGTGCTCTAATATTCGGCACGTATGTTCTTGGGAGCCTCAACTACTCTTAGGCCGCATTTTCTGACCATGCTCAAAGTGCTGCAGGGCCCCCTTTAATATTATTGGGAGCACAAAAATTCTAGTTCACTGCACAACCTCAAGGTAAAGCTACATTACTGCTAAGCCCTTTTTGTTCAATGTCACAGGATCGCTGCTTATAACAATTTGCCTGATGGAAAGATTTTGGGTAATTTCCACAATTAAATTGTGATTAGTTGTACTTTTCTTGTC